TCTCCCACTCTATCAGCCACCTCTCTCTCGCTCTAGCAGCCACCTCTCTCTCGCTCTAGCAGCCAACTCTCTCTCGCTCTAGCAGCCACCTCTCTCTCGCTCTAGCAGCCACCTCTCTCTCGCTCTAGCAGCCACCTCTCTCCCACTCTATCAGCCACCTCTCTCTCGCTCAAGCAGCCACCTCTCTCTCGCTCTAGCAGCCAACTCTCTCTCGCTCTAGCAGCCACCTCTCTCTCGCTCTAGCAGCCACCTCTCTCTCGCTCTAGCAGCCACCTCTCTCTCGCTCTAGCAGCCACCTCTCTTACTCTAGCAGTCACCTCTCTCTCACTCTAGCAGCCACCTCTCTCTCGCTATAGAAGCCACCTCTCTCTCGCTCTAGCAGCCACCTCTCACTCGCTCTAGCAGCCAACTCTCTCTCACTCTAGCAGCCACCTCTCTCTCACTCTAGCAGCCACCTCTCTCTCACTCTAGCAGCCACCTATCTCTCACTCTAGCAGCCACCTCTCTCTCGCTCTAGCAGCCACCTCTCTCTCGCTCTAGCAGCCACCTCACTCTCGCTCTAGCAGCCACCTCACTCTTGCTATAGCAGCCACCTCTCCCTCGCTCTAGCGACCAGCTCTCTTGCTCTAGAAGCCACCTCTCCCTCGCTCTAGCGGCCACCTCACTCTCGCTCTAGCAGCCACCTCTCTCTCGCTCTAGCAGCCACCTCTCTCTCGCTCTAGCAGCCACCTCTCTCTCGCTCTAGCAGCCAACTCTCTCTCACTCTAGCAGCCACCTCTCTCTCACCCTAGCAGCCACCTCTCTCTCACTCTAGCAGCCACCTATCTCTCACTCTAGCAGCCACCTCTCTCTTGCTCTAGCAGCCACCTCTCTCTCGCTCTAGCAGCCACCTCACTCTCGCTCTAGCAGCCACCTCACTCTTGCTATAGCAGCCACCTCTCCCTCGCTCTAGCGACCAGCTCTCTTGCTCTAGAAGCCACCTCTCCCTCGCTCTAGCGGCCACCTCACTCTCGCTCTAGCAGCCACCTCTCTCTCGCTCTAGCAGCCACCTCTCTCTCGCTCTAGCAGCCACCTCTCTCTCGCTCTAGCAGCCACCTCACTCTCGCTCTAGCAGCCACCTCTCTCCCACTCTAGCAGCCACCTCTCTTTCGCTCTAGCAGCCACCTCTCTCTCTCTATAGCAACCTCCTCTCCCTCGCTCCAGCGGCCACCTTGCTCTCGCTCTAGCGGCCACCTCTCTTGCTCTAGCAGCCACCTCTCTCTCGCTCTAGCAGCCACCTCTCTCTCGCTCTAGCAGCCACCTCTCTCTCGCTCTAGCATCCACCTCTCTCTCGCTCTAGCAGCCACCTCTCTCTCGCTCTAGCAGCCACCTCTCTCTCGCTCTAGCAGCCACCTCACTCTCGCTCTAGCAGCCACCTCTCTCCCACTCTAGCAGCCACCTCTCTTTCGCTCTAGCAGCCACCTCTCTCTCGCTATAGCAACCTCCTCTCCCTCGCTCCAGCGGCCACCTCGCTCTCGCTCTAGCGGCCACCTCTCTTGCTCTAGCAGCCACCTCTCTCTCGCTCTAGCAGCCACCTCTCTCTCGCTATAGCAGCCACCTCTCTCTCGCTCTAGCAGCCACCTCTCACTCGCTCTAGCAGCCACCTCTCTCTCACTCTAGCAGCCACCTCTCACTCGCTATAGCAGCCACCTCTCTCTCGCTATAGCAGCCACCTCTCTCTCGCTATAGCAGCCACCTCTCTCTCGCTCTAGCAGCCACCTCACTCTCGCTCTAGCAGCCACCTCACTCTTGATATAGCAGCCACCTCTCCTTTGCTTGAGCAGCCACCTCTCTCTCGCTCTAGCAGCCACCTCTCCCTTGCTCTAGCGGCCACCTCACTCTCGCTCTAGCGGCCACCTCTCATTCGCTCTAGCAGCCACCTCACTTTCGCTCACGCAGCCACCTCTCTTTCGCTCTAGCAGCCACCTCTCTTTCGTTCTAGCAGCCACCCCCTTCTCGCTCTAGCTGCCTGCCCTCTCTCACTCTAACCCTAAACCTCTCTCTCGCTCTAGCACCCTGCGCTCTCTTGCTCTAGCGGTTTGCTCATTCTCAACCTGGAGCAGCCACCTCTCTCTGGCATGCGCTAGCGGCCTGCTCTCTCACGCTCTAGCAGCCACCTCTCTCCTGAGAAGGCTAGTTATCTCTATCTTCAGTTGCCTTCCCTTTTACTCGCCCTAGCAGCCATCTCTCTATTTTGGCAGCCTGCTCTCATTCTGCCCCTTGCATGTAGCTGCCCGCCCCATGCCTACCTGCCGCCTTGATTTGCTGATACTTGTCACCACGTCGAGCCCCACCGTGTGAAAACCCTGTGTCACGCTCCAGTGTGCCCTTCTTCGTGACATGCTTCTTGTCCATATTGTAGGTCAGCCCTGGCGCGGGTCGTGGCGTTCGTTCTAACAGCTCCATCATCAGCATCTCTCCCAACCCTCTCGCCTCCCTGAACTTTGCCACTGCCGCATCCAGTTCCAGCTGCACTTGCTCTCGCGTGATGGTGCCATCCATTCCTGCATCGTGCATGTAGGTCGGGAACATCTTGCCCGAGCAATGAGGTAAAATGAACTTGCAGCTTGTCGCCACTGTTGTTGCAACCCTAGGCACTCTCTACACCCTGCCTTGCGGCTATCCCTTTTCCACAGGAGTCAGTGAACATGACCATTATAGACTCACCGCTGATTTCCGCAGCTCCCAACATCAACTTCACAGCAGCATCAGCCTCCTCTACCAGCACGCAGAGCACGTCGCTGTGGCTGGCCGCCTTTCTGGGTGGCAGTTTGTGCAATGCGCATTTGTGAGAAGGCCCTTGTCAAGCTGACGCTCATTGACACTGGCTTCTGGTCACGCCCCTCATTGATGCCATCAAGCTGGGTTTTTAGAGCTGCCCCCGCTGCAGCATCATTAGGATCTCCAAACCATTCACTGCGGGCAGGGATGAGTGGGGCGTGGGTTAGATGAACGTTGGCACCTAATGTATAACGATTCTGCCACCCCCATTACCACTTGCTTGCCACCTGGGGGGCAGAGGGATTGCCTTCCTCCTAGCTTGGGTACCGTGGTTCTAGGTTTGTGGAACAGGGTCGGCTTTTCCTTGGTGGTCAGCTGTCGAATCTTGGCTAAGTCCCTCTGCCCCCAGCTCTTTCGCCGCTCCGGGTATCCGCCCTAATCCCCGCATCAAATCATGGACCATGGAAAAACACTTTGCCAGGGAGTAGGCTGTCTAGTACAGTTCGGACAGCTGCTGTATGTGTGGCTTGGCGAATCCAGAACCAGGTTGCTTGACATCTGGGGTTAGCAGTTACGCACCTGGCTGGTCGACCTTGCTCGAGGTTGGCAGTCGGCTGATCTGCCGGCAAAGGCTGGCCTGCCATCCCAACGTGCAAGACCGTTCGTCCTTTCTCCCCGCCCCGCTCGCTAGAGGCAGTCCACACACTCAGCAGCGCAAATGGGTCCTCGTGAGTGCCAACGCACTCAGGACTGGGTCTGCTTTTGGCATCCCAGTGGGAGGGGTGGGAGGGGTGTGGTAGGTACGCTCTGAGATGGGATGTTGTCCTCACAATATGTTACAAGCATGCAGTAACCCAATCAGCATGCAACCTACCCCACTCAGCATGGCTCACCCATCCTGCCCTTCAAATCTCAGATGGCTGCACCATACCTCATGCAGGGAGAGTGCAGCACGATGCGCGCGGCAGGGAGAGCGCAGCAGGATGCGCGCCAGGGGGAAAGCGCAGCAGGAGGCGCGTGGCAGGGAGAGCGGACACTCTAACCGTGGTGCCAGGTACATCGAACCTGTTGTGAACCGCTTCGTTGTGGCGATTCCATCTGCCTCTTCTCTGGTTGTCTTCGCGTGCTCAAACCATGCGATTGCAAGTGCTAAACCGGGAGCGTGATTTTGCCTGAATGCAAAAGTAGCCTAGTGCATAGAACGCCAAAAGAGGCTCCACGGTTTGACCATGCATATGCTGTGCAACATGTACCAGACTTGACTGCTCGTAGCCGAGCAGCCCTAAACTTGTGCGTCCGAGCTAGCCTCCCGCGTCAACTTCGAGGCCTTGGTTGAGCGAGGGTTTCTCTTGAAAGACCAACTTTTAGGCAGCTGGGTCGTCAAAGCCCATGCGTGACTTGGCGATATTAGGTGACGTGCCCTAAGTGGCGCATGTTTGTGTCGGTGCGTTAGTCGCCAATATTAGGTACGGTGCATAACACTACCAATATTAGGTGAGCGGCGGACCTTTACGATATTTGGTGAGGTGCGAAATCTGCTCGATGGATGAACTAGGTGCGTATCGGTGTGCGTTGTGCGCCTCGTTGTGTGGACTGCGCGCCTCTGGATGCAGGCCTGCTAGGGCACTTGGAGTTCTGTGCGTTCCTAAGTTTCTCATAATTCAGCAGGTTGGTTTTACGGTTGGTTGTGTTGCCCCAGAAAAGTCACCCACGCTGCAAATTGCGTTCGTGTCGTACATTTTTGTCGCCTGCCCCACCTGTTGGCTTGGGTGTCGCCTGTATTTTTGCAACCAGGTTTGGAGTTGTGGGCCAATGAGAGCACTCCCTCTCGAGCCTGGACTTTCGCGCACATCCATCTGGGTAACCCCCCCTCTCCAACCGTTTAACACTTGGTACCAGGCATAATTATGAGAGAGGGGCTTTAAAACCCGTTGCCAAAATTGTTCAAACGCACCACGCATGAACTTTGAGCCTGGGTTTGTACGAAATATGTGGAAACTCACGAGGTGTTTCACCTAGCAAATTCGAAGTTGATCGTGGACCGTCATATTTGCAAACACGCAGTTTGACGGCAAGGCTCTCGCTAGGCATTTTCCATTTTCTAGGCGATCAAACGGGCTCGAAAGGCCCGTCTGATCATCAGACACCCGATCTTTCAGTTTCTGAGTAATCAGTGCTTTTAGAGAAGAGTTTCTAGGAAATCAGAAGTTTCAGCCTGGCATTTCCAAGTATTTCACGTAATCATTAGGCCAAAACGATCCTACCTACTCTGAATTACAATCTCCATCCATAGTGCCGCGCACGTCTACGGCCTCATCATCGTTCTTCAGACGCTTCTTCTTCTTCTTCTTCTTCTTCTTCTTCTTCTTCTTCTTCTTCTTCTTCTTCTTCTTCTTCTTCTTCTTCTTCTTCTTCTTCTTCTTCTTCTTCTTCTTCTTCTTCTTCTTCTTCTTCTTCTTCTTCTTCTTCTTCTTCTTCTTCTTCTTCTTCTTCTTCTTCTTCTTCTTCTTCTTCTTGATGACCGCCTTGTCTTTCTTCCTCTTCTGGCTAAGAGGCGGCTCAGGGGGGGACATCACGACATTTGTTGCATGCCGTCGCTGCACTAGAGCAAGGAAGTGAGCCATGACATCTTCCCACATCATCGGGTACTCTAGCAACAAAATGCACATCACGTCGGCCAGTCGGGCATCGCACAAATTAACACGCTTCATGATTTTCTGGCGGCTGAAGCCGCGCTCGCACTCTACTGTGCTGAGAGGCTGAACAGCAACAGCCACCCACAAGCGGACGAGGTTGGGGTAGGAGGTGCGCCAGTCTTCGGATCTGAGAATATTCTTCCAGTAGTCGTGGAATGACGCATCCTTGTAATGACCGTAGAGCATGCATGTGAATTGAGGCTGCTCCCTTTCCGCCTTGCCCCAATCAACTCTTCAACCAGGGAGGGTAAATAACCACAAGTCACAGCCTGACATCTCACAAGGTGGGAGGGGGGGTGAGGCCTTCCAAGTGCATGGTTAATTTAAGGTTAAGTGGAGAAATCCTCACCCGGCAAGGCACACTGCTCGGCGTTGAAGAGGACCTTTTGTGAACCGAACCACTCGGCACACAGACGGTCGCGCTTTGCGACGGAGTCGGGGTAGGCGTCGGGGAAGAACGGTTTTGACCCACAGAGACTGTTGAGGCTCTCCATCCGCGACTCCAAGTTGCGGATGATGGCCTGCACAAAAAGGGTGACAAGGGAGATGCATGACTACATGTCTCCCTCACTCTTCTGGCCTAGCAGAGCCTTCTCGTGCAGCTTAAAGGTGTGAGCCGTGGGGTTGCCAACGCTGTCAATGCCCTCCACGGTCACCATCCGCTTGTTCTTTGGGCCATGCTCCTCCAAAAACTCGGTGGGTAGCTTGGAATCCTCGCCGAAGTTGACACTATACTCCACGTAGCAAGAGCGGAGGATGTTGCATGTGTTCTCTACCAACAGGACCACCTTGGTGATGTCGACCTGTGGGAAGGGCATAAGGTAAATTAGTTCAAGGGACATCACAATGTTTACAAGTTTTAGGGGCAAGGTATTAAAAATCACACGCAGGGCAATCACTCACCGCACGGCGCTGGAACTTCTTGTTCAAGTTATTGAGCTCCTTGAGAACATCAGCTAGGAAAAATAGAAGGAAGTGGAACTTAAAGTTGCTAACGACATGGTACGTATCATCATCAAACTCATACAACAGCAACACTGCAGCCGAAAAGACTTGCACGAGGCGCTGAATGGCATCACCGCGAGACAACCAACGAATGCCTTTGATGCCCTGCATTTCAAGTCTCGTGTCGTGGATGAAACTCTGCAGCTCCTACAATCTTGAGTGTACGACAATGGAGCGGCCAAGGATGTCGGCTAGGCTTCGGACGACTTTGTCGACGATTTCAAGGTCGGGACAATCGTTGGCAGCGTCCTTAGCCGCGCGCGCCTCTCTGCAAACAACACGTAATTAGGATAAGGGATGTTTATGGATGCTAGGGTACCGTTATACAACTGTATAATTCAACAAGCTCACCTGTGGGCGATGCAATGACAGCACATGAGATGCGGGACCCTGGCGTGGAGCTGAGCAACAAGGCCCCAGTTCGCCCCCGTCATGACGCTAGCTCCATCAGTGCTGATGCCACTGATCTTGTTCAGGTCTATGGTGGTGGCTTTGAGGTGGTCCAGCAGCAGCGTCAGTAGAGAGCTCACATCACACCTCTCAAGTGTTAGGTGTAAACAAATCTCGGTCACCACCTTGGCGTTCTTCAAGAAGGTGAGGTACACAATTATGTGTTTACCCCGAACATCGGTGCTCCTCTCGGTGCTCTCATCCAACTGGATGCCCACGAACGACGACTGTTGAATGTGCTTCATCTGCTGTGCTCGTTGGTAAACGACGAGTGCTTCTATGATTTGCTTGAAGTCGTACATGCAGCAGTAAAAAAACAACGGTTAGAGATTTTTTAAAATTAGAGTTAACCAAAACGATAGCAGAGCCCAACTTACTCAGAATGGTAAGGAGTGCGGAGATCATAGAGAAGATAGACTAGAGAAACAAACATGGCAATAAAAGCATCAGACTTGCAAATCCAAAGCACAACAAGCATCAACTGCCTGAGACGCGCGTCAGCTCCCTGATCGTCATCGAAGTCAACAATGCTTGGCAGCGAAGTGTTTAGCCCATCCAGCTGTTTCTGCCGATCCTCCACAGCCTTGTGCTTATTACTTTGGGAGTGCTTCACCATCGTCTGCTTCTGAATGTTGACACCTCCATTGCCGTACTTGCCGTACTGCCACTTCGGAGGAGCGTGCGCCATGCACAATCGACACTTCATGCACGGACGTCCGTCGGGGCGTTGGTCGATGAGCAGCCAGAGGAATTTTTGCACCCACTGCTCATCGGCCTTCGCCTTCGGTTCAGCAAGAAGTGCATCGGGGTTGGGGATGAGACGAGAGTGGCTTCCCGTGCTCGGCATCGCATCAGAAGCCAAAACAGACGTTCCCATCTCTTGGTTCGAAGATGGCGTTGCATAAGCAACAGGTCGGGAAGTCTCTAGCCTGATGTGAGGAACACAGGTACGCACAAATCGAATTGTGCTTTGCGTGTACCTTCCATCGGTCAGTCTTGAAGGCAGCACTGGGATCGCGACTACTGAGAGTGGAGGCGAGGGGATCCCCGCGGCAAAAGTATGAGAGCGAGAAAAGGCAGGCGAAGTGAATGCGAGCAAAGGCTCAGCATCAATCTCTAGTTTAAGTAAGAGAAAGGAATCGGCTGGGGAACTAACAGCTGGCGCGCGCACGTCCTCAGGCGTCTCTCACCTAGGCGGAGGCTGGCGTAGAAAATCCAGCCCCCTCATCGGGGGTGCTGTAGTGGGAATGGGCTGAGCCATGGCGGTGGCGCCGTCATCAGTAATGGCGCTGCCAGCCATCTAAAACTGATTTGCGTGGCAAACGAGTGAGATAAGCTATGGAGCAGGTCTAACCTGGGTGCGGTAACGCTAGTGAAACGATGGCATAGTGGCGGACAGGGGAGCTTGTAGAAGGTTACCCAGGTTACCCAACAACTCCTTGCAAGCATCACCGCCCTTCAGGAGGAGATGCGAGCCGATGGCGAAGCTTGGCAAAACGGGTTCGAGCGAGTAACTCGACTCGCCGGCACGCAGCACGACACGACAACGACGGCGACGCAGCAGTAGCAGGAGTTTCTCAAGGCTCCGAAACCGCGCCCACCTGAGCCGTTCGATCCGAGCGATTGAAATTCTGACGCCCGCAGATGGATCGCCGGCATGGAGATCTACTTCGCAGCTGTCGGATGGAGCTCGCCAGTCTGGGACGGTCAACGCGTACGACTCGCGGCGACACTGATGCGAGGACCGGCACTCGAGTGGATCAGCGGTAACAGTACCTTCATCCTCGGCAAAGCCACGTGGCAGCAGTTCCGCACCGACCAGCTGAAATGCTTCGAGCCGATACATTCGGGTTTCCTTGCCCGGGAAAAAATTCATCGCCATCGACAGTTTGGGAGTGTAGTGCAATACACGCAACAGATAGAGGAATTTTATAACCACATGCATGACCTGACCGAAGGGTAAAAGTACAGTCGTATCTCGCCGGGTTGAAGACCGAAGTCAAACGATAGGTAGCAGCGATAAATCATGCGAGCTACAGTGACGTCGTTTTGGCAGCAGAGCGGCTTGACATGGTCAACGCCGGAACACGATGGGTGCACATCGTCAGTATATGGCAGGGCGACCGCTCGGCTCACCCCGCTCGGCTCGACCGCGACAGAACAAATACCCAATACCACGAATTGATGACATGCTTGACCAGCTTCGGGGAGCCACAGTATTTTTCAAACTGGATCTGCGGTCCGAATACTGGCAGATACGAATGGTGGACAATTCCATCCACAAAACTTCCTTCCAAACTCGGTACGGGTCGTACGAGTATCTGGTAATGCCGTTCGGACTCACCAACGCACCGGCAACGTTCCAAGCTGAAATGAACCATATTCTATGCCCACTCTTGGACGAATGCGTGGTGGTGTACCTGGATGACATCCTCATCTACTCGCACGACATGCAGCAGCACGTCCAACACCTGCGACGCGTCTTCGACATTCTCCGACGAGAACGATTCTATGTCAAGTTATCCAAGAGCGAATTCGCCCTCCAGAAAGTCTAGGGCACATGGTGAGCGCTCAAGCAGTTCACGTTGACCCCAAGAAGATCGAAGCCGTACGTACGTGGAAGACACCCGAGAAAGTGAAGGAGTTGCAGCAGTTCCCAGGCTTCGCTAACTATTACAAGAGGTTCGTTCCATAGTACGCGAAACTCGCAACACCACTCATGAATCTGCTGAAGAAAAACACGCCCCATAAGTGGGAACCAAAACATCAAGAAGCCATGGAGCAGCTAAAAAAAGCACTCACGTCTGCACCCGTACTCATCTTGCCAGACCCCCGAACGCGACTACGTCATCGAAGCTAACGCTAGCGACAAGGCAGTGGGAGCAGTCTTGATGCAAGACCAGGGGAATGGACTGCAACCAGTCGCCTTCCTCAGCATGAAACTATACGGGGCAGAACTAAACTACCCGATGCATGACAAAGAGGCCCTTGCTATTATCATCGCCTTCAAAACGAGGTGATGTTGCAGTAACGGAAACAATTGTCCGGATGTTTTGCATTAATAAGGGTATTTGAGCTTTCCGACCAGTGTACATAAAGTCTTGATATTTAATGGTGGTACGCTTTGGGAGGGGCACATAGTGGATGTGTTCATAGCACTAAATTCCAAAATAGTACATTGGATCTAATTTAGTGCCAAAAGATATACAAAGAGTACATCCGGACAATTATTTCCTAGGACAAAGAGCAAACTTCCGAGCAGCATTTCTAGTACCTAGTCCACCAACACTGGGCCTTGATAACCACCTGCACCCTCCTAGGCATGTTATCTACAAGGTTAGTGCAAACCTTTACATCGATATTCTCGCACTCTTCCTGGACCCACCCTTTTGCATAAGGGGGTGAGCACAAGGAAAATCGCGAAGTATTTGAAC